TTAGACTCGCAATGGACAGTTCAAAAGAAAGGATACAAATACATACCGAGTAAGACAGAGTTTTTTAATCTACACATTCTTCTTCCTTGTCAAACCCTGGTGTCTACATTACCCACAATGCAACTCGACCACCAACAGTTCTAATTGTATGAAAATGAAAACTAGAAATTGAATTAATTGAAAGTTTTTACATTAAGCTGAAGCTTAGTGGATTCCTGTATGATGGTAGGCATAATATTTTCTATGTGTTATTATATTATCTAATGGAAGTCTCTGTAACAAGAGATGCAACAAAAACAAATTGCTAGAGTTAACATTAACAACTCCTTACACAACGTAATGGAGGTAAATCAAAAGTGTCCATTTAGTCCATCTGCTCAGGGCAGTTGAAGTTGTTGTGCGAAGAACATAAGTGCATCATCGGGGAATAATGACTCTGCATGAAAGATGGTAATCATAGGGTCGATTTCATCAAATGCGCCGAGCATCCGCGTTCTTTACTCCACCGTTGAACTTGTGTGTGTTGAATTGAGATGGATGGACAGCTGGACATAGTGAGATAGTATTAGCCGGGTGACTCAGCGGCCGCCTGTCAAGTTTGTGTGTTGTGTGTGTGTGTGTGTGTGTGTGTGTGTGTGTGTGTGTGTGTGTGTGTGTGTGTGTGTGTGTGTGTGTGTGTGTGTGTCCTTACACCAGTGCCAGAGAGTAGAGATAGAGGGGGAGAGAGAAATGCCCACAGCACAGCCCGCCATCTCTCAGTTCCAGTCCAGTGCCTGAGGAAATGTACCCTGATATTAGCTATTAAAGAGCAGATTGTCAGGGGAGCCATGCCAGCACTGACAGCAGCTGTACAATGCAGCCGGCTGCAGGGAGCCAGGAGGCTATCTGAGGCTTTTTCCCTCCACACAGCCATCTTCCTCAGGTCCCCATCGGATGCCGACGCCCTCTGCCACCCTTGCCGCACCCTCTTCCACCCAAAGAAAAAACTGCCTTTCTGTCTAACTTCGTAGCTGCGCACTGGGTCGGAAAAAGCGCCTACAGGCAGACGTCAGACAGGCAGCAAACCTGATGAGTGTGTGATTGGCTTTATACCTGTGCGATGCTTCAAATGTTCTATTTGAGAGGATTTTGGATGCTGTAACTGAAACTTCCCAACAGAAATTAGTCGCGGATCATTTGGCTCGGAGGAAATTGGAAAGGGATAAATCAGTTCAAATTCGATTCAGTGACTCCTGCCGCTTGTAAAATATCTGAGATAATGTCGCTTTTTCCCCTTCAACAAGAAAGATTATTGCAAGCGTGGATGCACACTTATTTGTGAATGCAAATTTCTTACCTTATCAATCTTTTATTTTAGGAATATTCAACTGTGACTGTTTTCTCATTTATTCGCTTGTAATACTGACAAGAAGGGAGGCGGGCGGGATCATAGCCGTCGAATGTGATTTGACAGAACTCAAGAGCCATGAGGGATTTCTGTCCTTTAAGTTGTGACGGCATATAATAAGGCCCAATCATTTTAATTAAAGGGCTTGATCCAGCTTCATTGAGAAAGGTAATCAGATCAGTAGGGAGTCCTGTGATTGCCTGAAAGCCTAAGTAGAGTGGAAGGGTTTCAGAGCGCCGTTTCTCGTCTATCGCCAAAGCAAATCTCTGGGGAGAGGTGTGAGAGGCTGAGGTACAAATGGAGGAATGAAAAGAGGCAGTGTCCTATCTCCAAGGGTCGCAGCACCTGTCCTGATCTTTTCTCTCTTTTGATTCTTTCCATCTTTGTTGCCTTCACCACTCCTAGCCTCTACATTTCTTGCTCTTTAATTGTGTCCCATACTCGATTACTCTCTTTCAATGTTATCTCTCCCCTAACCTTCTCACGTCCCTTACCCACTTCCACCCCTTTTCCTTTCACCCCATTTCACAAACGTTCAATGTTGTTCTCTGCTTCAAAGTTTGCTTACTTTCCAGTTTCACTTTCATTTAACTTTTCTCTTTTTATAGCTCCATCCTTCCAAATCTATCCTCCTTTCTTCTTGTTGCTTATCCTCTTCAGTTACCTGGCCTTCCTATGTCTTTTTCGTCCTCCTAATTTTTCTGTCGGGACTTGCTTGCCCATACCAACTTTAGATTGATCGCAGTCATTACCTCCATTAATGAGAGGGGATTGAGTTCTTAACTGGGCTTTGCAGAGCCAGCCAGGTCACACGGACTGGGGATACAGATGACTGGAGGTTTCCCAGAGTGCATGGCGTCCTAGGAAAGCCAAAGTACACTTTAATCACCTGCCCTTCCAATGGCAAATAGCTCTTTAATGACACTTTGGTAGATGGGTTCACCCCAACACAAGGGCAAAGACATGCATGTCTTAACATGGCTTCACCAACCAGCCTTTGTTATAAGCAGGCAGATAAAGACACAACCTTGTTTTGCTCTTGTTGATCGATTCATATGTTAAGCTTCTTTGCTCGGTTAGACAGAGATTAAATAGCTATCAGCTCTGACTTGTGTAGTCCTTACTGGCAATGGAATTAAAAGAAATACTAGTGGCAAATTTGCTTGCATATGAAGGCCCATTTAGACAATATACTCTAATGACAGGGGGGGTTCTTGTAAGCCTAGCTTAGAACCATGAAGATCTCATATATGCCAAACATTTTGTGTCAAAAGTGTCTTCTAACGACTCCAAAGCTGTTTTTACACATCATTCAAATGAAATGATTTCAAATTTTTATGGGAAATACAATTATTTGCTATATTGCTGCCAATTAGATGAGAGGAATGCTGATACTCTCAAGTCTGTGCGTTGAGATGGAGCCAAGAATCGATTAGCCTATTAGCATAAAGACTGGAAGGATGGAGAAACAGCTAGCTTACCATGGCTCTGTAAAGTGAAATATATGCCTAACAACATTTCTAGAGCTGCCCATTTTTATGTGTCTGTTTGATCAGAAAATATCAGAAATGTCCACTTGACCAGTTTGGGTTTTACAAGAGAATTATGAATGTATAGGTGTTTCGCTATTTATCATTGAGAAGTTTGGGGAGTTAAGAAGACATTTTGACACAGCAAACATGGTGGTTTATCATCCTTGCACAGTTTTGACACCTATTCGATTTGTTGATAAATTGTATACTTGTTTTAGCACACTCACTATTAAACGCTTAGGAGACACCATTCACTGATGGAGACTGAGAAATTGAATATCTCAGTAAAAAAGCCAGTCAGTGGAAGCTGAGATATTCAAAATGGAACTTTTTAGAAGAATACATCCAATAAAAGTTTTGGAAGGGGTTTTCCCCTTACATTCAGTCTCTGTGCTAAGATAGGCTCAACATATCATGGAGCCATCTGCTGAATTCATATTAAATAAATTGCTATTGTTCTTCGCATTCCACAAATCACAGCAAATAAGCATATTGTCAAAATGTTGTTAATAGCACCAAAACAATTTACCATTCCCCAACTGCTCGTTTCTGATCAGAACCCTGTGTCAATGCAGTCAGTCTTTTCCAGAGAAACATTATATTTCCCAGCTGCTTATAAATGAAAGAGGAAAAATGAGGGCCATCTTCAAAAAGAAACGGTCAAACACATCACGGCACCAACACATTATCCCTAACAATGACCAGAGAATATGCCAAAAGCAGTTAAATAACAATTCACAGGCAAAACATTGCTGGCTCACATCACCACCAAAACCTTTACTTACACTTTTCTGGAAACACACACAGCCTGGTGTCCGTGCCATTGAAAAGCTGCCCAGAGAAGCAGGTGTGATGGCAGCTTTAAGCTCGTTGGTGAGCACGGTGAAATCGAGTGAGCTAATCTCTGTGATTTCAGGTTGTTTTGAAGCCTGGCACACAAGAGCCGACACGGAGTAGGTGGTTGCTAATTGCAGGGGGCGAAGAGGTCACTGCCGCTCTGCTCAAGGCATAAACATTATTCATCAAGAGTGACAAGGTCAGCCACATCATAAATAGTTCACAGATTAATTATTGTTCTATTGGTAATGGCTTGGGCTTGATCTGACATGTTAATGTACATTACACTAAGGTCATTGATGTCGTTTGTTATTTGGGTTTAATAGTAACTGATGATATCAACCTACCCGGAAATATGTATTGCTTTCGCTAAAGTACAAATGTGGGAGTGCTGATGTCTTCTTTCCATTGTTTGTATCAATATTAATGTGATTTTATTAAATCTAAGAATAGCCGTTTTGGATAAGAAGATCTGTATAGATTGTCTGGCTCTTGCGTGTAGCGTATTCAGCCTTATCTCAATTTAAACAGAACATATATTACGCACAACTAATAACTGAAGTCACTGACCCCCTTCTCAGAGTCCAGAGTCTTTAAATAAATGTTCCAGTCATGGCATTGAGTGTGACAGCCTGGCCTTTTTTTTTTTTGGCCTAATGGCCTTTTCATGCCATATGTTCTTCTTAAGATCAGTTCACAGTCAGTGTCCACTGAAAGCACACAGATAAACGGGTAGAGGTCAATTAGTTATCGCTACACAACATTGCATGACCAACGATCAATCCTCTGATGGCAACCTTAATCTATAGATGCCCTTGCTTAAGGTCATCTGGTCAGGTGATGGACAGATACTCTCTAGGGCACTCTAAACAGTATAAAATAACTGCTGCAGAAACACTGGGAGATTGAAAAAAGAAGCCGCTTAATGCACTCTTATTCACAATCCCATGAAATCCAGTTTATCATTTTAAATATAGAGATATTAACAGTACCTCCAAATCTGAGGCCATGGTTCTCAGCAGGAAACCGATGGACTGTCCACTCCAAGCAGGGAATGAGTCCTTACCCCAAGTGAAGGAGTTCAAGTATCTCGGCCAGAAGGCAAAGCTCTCTGTCTACCGGGCCATTTTCGTTCCTACCCTCACCTATGGTCATGAAGGATGGGTCATGACTGAAAGAACGAGATCACGGGTACAAGCGGCCGAGATGGGTTTTCTCCGCAGGGTGGCTGGTGCAGAAGGACGAGGACCAGGCTGCTGCTGGGCAGAAGGNCAGTAGCATTCTGAACACCCTGGCAGTTTTTTCAAGTGACTCACTGAAGCCCAAAATATGTAAGGGCGAAAGTTTAAGGACTACTTGAAAAACACCCACCCCCATACACACACACACATATTCACCTACACACATTACATTACAATGCATTTAGCTGACGCTTTTATTCAAAGTGACTTACAATAAGTGCAATAAACCATAAAGATTCAAACTAAGGACAACAACAAACGTGCTGACATAATTGTACTTCAAACAAGCAATATCATTGTTAAGTGCAAAGTTTGTTTGCGATTATTAGCCAAGATACAGGCGAAACAGGTGGGTCTTCAGTTCGTAACGGAAGATATGTGGAGTCCGCTGTCCTGATAACGGTGGAAAGCTCGTTACACCATTGAGGAACCAGGATAGCAAAAAGGCGTGACTTTGTTGAACCTGGTTCCACTTTGCAGTGAGGGAGTGGCAACAAGCCGATTGGCAGATGCAGGGCGACGTGCATGTGCTGGAGTGTATGGTTTGACCATGTCTTGGATGTAGGATGGACCAGATCCTTTTACAGCATGGTAGGCCAGTACAAGTGTCTTGAAGTGGATTCTGGCAGCCCCTGGTACCCATTGAATGGAGCGAAGGAGTGGTGTAGTGTGGGAGAACTTGTAGAGGTCGGTTGGCACTTGCAAGCAGACCAGCCAGGAGGGAGTTACAGTAGTCAAGGGGTGAGATGACAGCGCCTCGACCACATAGTCGAAGCGCTCACAAATCTGCCTATGCACAAACACATACAGCCGAATCATTATTAATATATATACACTTAAAACAGTATCTCTCTATATACATATTGGGCAGCAGTTTGGTAGATTTGGAAGACATATTCATCCATTTTGAATATGACATAAACAGTCTTAATGTTGAACCCTAAATCAGATTATACATAAGACGTTTGCCCATACTGGGCCATTGTTTTCAAAATGTTAAGGTATAAATTCTATCTCAGCTTTGCTACTAGCTGATAATCGGCTGCAGTTTGTTTGTTACTGCTATTCGGGGGGTGAAGAGAAAGAAGCTAAATGTTTTGTAGTTTCATTTAAAGAGCAACTTGAGACACTTTTAGTTTTAAACACGCCCCCCTTTACAAATTCAAAAAATGCATTTGAACTCATACAAAGTCCACCCACACTCTAGGGGATTTCCAAACCACTACATAGCTGTTGAAGCCTCAAAATCACAAAAACAAAACAGTTAACACTTGGTTCCAGGACTGAAAATTGAAAACATAACATCTATAATATGCAGTAAACAACATGCGAGGCAGATGGTGACTTGAGCAGCAGTCAGGATTACCATACAGTCTTCATACTGATGCCTGTACCCTCATAATCAAACAAGACTATCATTCAGGACACTATTTATTTATCGTTTTTCTTAATGCCTGTCACCACGTGTGATTTATGGCTGACTTCAACTAAACAAGTCATTTAAAGCAGACCGTAAGCTCCAATGCATTTTCACAGGAGAGTACGTCATCAGCCATTTAAAAGAAAGCAGGATATTATTCTTCAGAGAAGTAATTTTGGATTTGAGTTCATTTTCTAGGTGTCATTGGTATTGTGAGCTGATCATTTGAGTGTGAAACAAATAATGTCAGTAAGAAAAGTGGAATAAGTGGACTTCAATTAATCCAAACTGAATAGTTCTAACTATTCCAAGAAGCAAACATGATGTGATCCTCAGTGTGATTGGGTTTATTAACACACAGCTTGAGGAGTGTCAAACTGTCAGACGCTGGCTTGCATCTGGCTCTGAAAAATTCTGGCGCAGGACAGAACAGGTGTACATGAACAGAATGAGTGCAATCCAAAACATTCCAAGGACTAGTCTGACAGTTATGTTATCACAGTGCTCATGAATATAGACAGCATTGCCTTCTCCTGTTATTGTGACTCGCACTAAGCAGCTGACACAGAAAATCACTCTCTCCGTCTAACTGTTCATCTTCCTTAGAATCTGATGGTGTTCGTAGTCCTCTAACCACAGTGGACAGCAAGTCACAAGCAATCGCTGCGTCTTCAAGACAAGTCCCAAAACAAGACGGTTAAAGGTAGTTCAACATTTTGTCAAATACATGCTGGAAAAAAGTTATTAAACCACCATTGACAGACCAACAGCGCAACCCATTGAACAGATTAATAGATTGATAGAAAACTAATTGGCAGAGAAATTGTTAAATAACTCTTAGTTCAAGCCTTCATTCTGTTTATTTAACTTATCATCGCCAACAAAACCTTTTTCTTAGACATCAAGAACTAAACATTGCTAGCAAAACTTATATTACTGCATCAAAATAAAATCAAGCTTTTTTCAGAGGTTTTAGTCCTTCAAAAAACCTTAAGCTAGTGCTGTCGTGCAAAAAACAATTCCAAAGTTCTTACTGTCTTAAAGGTAATAGAGACTCAAATGATTATTAGTGAAGCATTCATCACTTCATGGACGCCTCGGTCAACGTGCAGTATTTCAACGCAGTCTCATGGCATTTCGTGTTCACCAACACGATTTTTAATCTATTGATTCGTGTTCACCAACACGATTTTCCCCTTTTTTTCGTGTTGCACAGCACGATTTTAAAAGCAATGTATTTCTATTGGTAGTCTCACGGCATTACGTGTTATAGGAAGACCGGAAGCTGTGTGGTTCATAAAAACATGTTCTTACTCAATATCAAGCCACAATTATTGCTTTTATTTTAAATCGTATAATTTCTGACTTTTGTTGCCGTCTGTGAGGAAAATAAATGGGGCTCAGAGCCTCAGGATACTGAAATCTATACAGATTTCAGTATCCTGAGGCTCTGAGCCCCATTTATTTTCCTCACAGACGGCAACAAAAGTCAGAAATTATACGATTTAAAATAAAAGCAATAATTGTGGNTGACAGACACATATGCTCATGTAAAACATTTTCTCATACACAAGAGATATGAAGCTTTTCTGATATTTAAAGACCAGAGAGAAAAGTGGATGTGAATAACCAGGTAAAATACAAGAGGCTGGAACACAGAGATCCTCTGTAACATCAAGCCAATAAATAATTCAAAAGGGATAAATGTTGACAGTAAAAGGCAGACGTCTAAATGTCACAAGTCCTTGCAGTGGATTTAAAAATCACAATGTTCCTCTGGTTTCAAGCTCTAACGGAGATTTGTCATGCTGGATTCTTTTCACAGAGAATCACTACTGTCTTAAAAGTACTCAGTAAAAGCCCCTCCATGAAAGATTCATACAAAGCCTCTCTATTTTCAGTAAGGGAGCTCAAGGTTAGCTCAGACAAAACCGAGTCGTTTTCTAGTATTGTAGATAAAACTCCCTCTGTGACAGAATGATCAGCAGCTACAAGGAAAGAACATTTGCGGGGTGCCCCAAAGCAAAACGCAGGATACACAAACCCAGGAAGAGTTTTCAGCCAGGCCTCAAAAACATCACTAAGAGATAAGTTCATGCCATCCTTCAAGGGTAACCTAATTCTGCTGAACATATTGTAAACTAGAAAATCTTTTTCTTATTAGAGGAAAGGGATTAGTAGAAACTTGACTAAGTTAAGTCTATTTATAATGGAGAGACCTCATTTATTGGTCATATGCTTTACCAGATTTCTTAAGAGTTTTTGCAAAAGACAGGGAAATCTTAGCTGTGACAGCGGCGCAGCAGGATGAAAGGAAATATTATCAGGAGTGGCAGTGAGTCTTTGTATCCCAGCTTTTTTTTTTTTTTTAATGCAACAAAAAGCTTAATCTGACACTGAAGTAAATTAGTCTTAATAAGAAGGTTTTCACAGATGAACAGCAACCTATTTGTGCAATTAAGGCACATGCACTCGGTAGACTGGGTGCTTGATGACACATTGAGGCTAAGTAGTAAGACATGTTGGTGCATCAAAAGAGCAAAGTTACTATCATGTTCCCCTGTATTATTTCATTTTGCAATTTACATTACATATCATTCCTCTCTTTTCCTGTAAACCACTGCTCTAATTTGGTTGAGTTCATATTAAACTCAAGGGTGTATACATATATTCTCTTTACTCATGTCACAGTGTATAAGCAAAGCAATGAATGATGACTGAATTACATTAAGTTGCTTTGGTTTCAGGTCCTGATGCTTATTATGACATTGTCTTCATTCGGTTCATTTTACTGTGACAATGTGGGTAATGGGCTGAAATATATTTTTGCAAAGTCATTTTCAATATGACAGATAAGTAATAGGTTATTACCATTCATCTAGTTTAATGGAAATAATGCAAAATGGGCTTATTTCCCTTATTGTTATCTAGTTGTTCAAAGGCAACAAATATATACATTTGTTATATCTGATAATGAGAAAATGCAGTGAAATATTATTATTTTTGTGTCTCTATAACCCAGGTTAATCCATTACAATGTAACTAGTAGTTTGATTGTATTCCAGTCCAATTCCTGTCTATGTCCTTTCATCGATCCCTTTTGCTTGAATTTATTTATAAAAGCTTCAGTTAAAAAATGCTTTGTGTGCAGGAAAGAATTGGTTGAGCATTTCAATGTTGTTGTGTGTCCCTCTCACCTGTTTTAGCTGAGTCTCTGAGTTGACATGCACATCACACGTCTCACAGTGAAACGTTTTGTTCTGCAGGCCCGTTAATGACTTGACGACTGGAGCCAGTTTGCTCTTGACTCCCGGCCGAGGGAAAGACTTGATGGAGCCCACGCCGGTCCTGGCCTCGAGCATCGTCTTGTGCTTCGTACCTGCAGGTTCAAACAGAGGCAGCACGGTCAGTACATTAACGTCACAAAACAGATGCTTGCCTGAAGGAGAGGTGAGATCAGAGGCTCACATCTGTTATCCCTTTTTCTGGTGTGGGAAGTATGAAGGTCAGACTTATAGATTCATCTACAAAGCCCCTGATAAAAGTAAAAAAACCTTGTTAAAATTGTTCAGGAAAAATGTGATGTTTGCACAAATCTTTCACTTTTAGATGTCCCTGCAGGGCACTGTTAGCACTGAGGTTTAACTCAGCCTTTAAGTGACTGAACTTGCAAGTGCAAACACCATTTTTATTCCCATTTCCAATCTCTGCTAATACTCCTCTTGCCGTCTTTCACTCTTAAAAGAGGAGCAGCAGCTGCCATTCTTAAGAAAAATCCCACCAGCATCAGGGTTGAAATATATTCTTTTGTTAAGTTTATTGTATGTGAAGAAGGTTACTCGCTGAATTTCTACACAATCGCCTAGGATCAGTGTTGAAGGGTTCTTTGGCTTATTTATTGAAGCATATTGGCTGTCTGTTAATACCTAATTAACAAATACACAGAGTGGGGATATGAAATAAATCATCTATATCCATTAATCACGGCTTAATGCACAGAAATGTCCCATTGTTTTTGCCTCGTCCAATTACTAATGAACATTTAATTAAATGTTTGAACAAAAGAACAAATCAAATAGCAATCTATAAACAGTTGCTTGGCAGACACAAACAGACTGACACCCCCTAGATTGAAGGCAGTCCATAATAAATTACACAAGTGACCTCAAAGTTATTGATAGCCAAGCAGTGAGGGTCCAATGTTAACTCATATTGATCAGGCTTGTTCGACAAAGAGTATATGACCTTTTAATTAGGAGCCTGCCTAATGTTTTACGAAACTACATTCCCACACAAATAAAAATCAATTATGTTTTGAAGGAAAATGTGTTTTTCTCCCAAATAACTATCAGTTTAAAACACTTGGTAAACGTTGAAAACTGAAAGATAAAACAAAACAAAAACACAACAAGACTACTTGGTTAGGTTTAGTTACTAGTTTGAACAAGTACTTACCTCATAATTAGACTCATAACAGACATGTGTGTGTGTGTGTATTTGTGTAAGTGTGTGTGTATGATTTGAGTTTTAATTAACTTGCCAGCCCCGGGACAGATCTACTTGATTGTCGTGTGTGTTGCTGAGGACCCAAAGGAGTGCCGTGCCGTACTTGTAGTTGATAATAATTTAATTCCAGTTTTGGTTAAATTGCTGAAGTCACTCAAGTGATCTTTATAATTTATTTGCAGCAGATTTAGCAAACGTCTCTTACCGCTGTTGTGAGCGTCTAGCTGTGACGCCGAGTTGACCGCCACTTTGCACAGCGAGCAGTACAGAAGACGACGAGCTTTCTCCTCTTCTGTTTCAGCATCCGTCTCGACCTCGGGTTCGGCCTCAGGCTCCAGGTCTGGTTCTGAGGGTGAGTTTAATGTTGAGTCCCCTCCAGCAGCTGAGGTAGTCTCGGGGGCTGTGGCTGCCATAATGCTCGGGTCTATGGGTGAGGCCACGAGGGCCGGCGTTGGCATTGTGAGAGTCGTCAAGGATACCAAGGGTAGCGCCGGTCGGAGCACCGGAGAAAGCGGCAGGGGCATTGCTCCAGGAACAACATCTGCAGAGAGAGGGATTATTGTGTGATTTTAATCGTATTTAATCGTATTCATCACTTGGATGCAAATAATTATTGTGAGGCTCAACCAACCTGTGGCTAAACAGACTTTGAGATGTGGATTTAAAAGATACATTTACTAAAATAAATAGCTGTATCTAATTGCAGTAACAAGATGGGTTTCATTAGGGTTACGTGAGCGTTGGGTTAAAAGACAGACATTCTGTTCTTTTGTTGGTGTTAGCATGAGTGAACATTAAAGGTTAACACACTGCCAAACACAATAGGACTGAAAACAAGTTATGAAGACCAGAACTGGCAACACCAACAAAACACTAAAGCAAATGAATAAAATATCTTCTCCAAACACACAACACATGTGCAGCATTTGACCAAATACAGAAAGATGCACAACACCAGGGAAACATTTACAAATCCACCAAAAGACACAACTTAACTACTTGGTAATGTTAAGGCAAGACAACTACTTGGTAAGGTTTAGTATAACATTGTGGCTTGGATATAAAGATGTTTGTTTGTGACGTATTTTATGTTACTGACATAGATTAATGTTTTACCCATTCATCAATTCCCCTCCGTCTCCTCAAATTTGCAGACTACCACAGACTATGATTATTAAAACATTATACATTTAAAACAAATGTAATATGGGATAAAATACTAGATATGCAGGAAAGTTCAGTCAAGACCAACTCAAGCAAACCAAGAAGCCGATAATAATCAGACTTGTATTGTCAGTGTGTGAGATCACATTAACATGTAACACAAGTAGCTTCGGGCTGTGAAAGAAATGTCTGATATTTTTAGGCAAAGGGACAGCAGCAGATCAATATATTTGACTCACAAAACAACAGCACATGTCAGTGTTTGGAATACAGAGGACTTGCTGCCACATATACGAAAATCTAATTTTGCCTTGGGAGCACCGCCTGATCGATGCCAATGTGTCGGAGTTCTCTGCACTCCAGCTTCACGAAATGAAGATCATCCCGCTACGAGAGCAAATCAATAGTGAATTATGTCATGCTATTTTTGTGAGCCATTATATATGGTCCTTATTTATCCCATTGGAGGTGTTGGCAGTTGGCGTCGCAAAACAGCTCAGAGTTACATTGTCAACAGGTTCACTTCTGTCAAAGGTTAAAAAAAAGAGATGAAAGGTTAGGAACCATCATTCTGTTACGACCTGTGTTTAAGTAAGCATGGCCTCTCCTTTAGATAAGAAGGATCAGGAAAGAGCTTCTGGAGAGTGGTGTCTATTTATTCAAGCTGAGTTTTTGAATAGCATCCAAGGATTGCAGCTTATTACAATGGCACTCTGAATAAAAGCTTCAGCTAAATGCTTTAAATGTATGTAAATATATGCATTGTCAAGTATTTCAGTGTTGTGAGCATCCAATCCATTAACCTTTGAAATAGGTTTGCGGCACACTTGTTGTTAGACTCTTCTTACAGTTGACTGACTCCAACTGTGAAATTTGCTGCACTTTCACGAAACTCGCTGAGTTCCCTGAATGCAGATCTCGAAAAGTAATGAACAGGAGCAGGTGGTAGATAACCGACAAAAATATGACATTTGCATTGAAATGAAGAGGAAAGCTTTAGGGTGGCTTGCTTCAGTGATATGCAACAGAATCATAAAACGTGTGATAAATGCCAGACCTTTTGCAGAGTTGGTGAGCATCGAAGTAGAGCCTAAATGACAGTGATGCTGGTATTTGAAAACGTATATTTAACAGCGCTTTGACAACACAGGGTTCAAGAGCAGGGCTATTATTTCGAAAGGGCTCTCTTTTTGAGGGCCAAGCCATAGTAGCTGATTTTCCACCAGGTTGGAAACAATTACAGAATGTTCACAACATGGATCCAATGGGATCCAGGCATTGCCAGGAGAAGGAATTAATGCATGCATTTATTTATTTTTTAAATTTAATTCAGGTTTCTCAGAAAAAAAACCTTGAGAAAAAAACCTTGAGAGAGTAAAAGACTGGAAGGGGGTATCAGGTTATCAAAGACTGTTTGCCATCTTATATAATGTGTACTATCCAGGACTATGTCAGGAAACAACTATTTGTTCTTTAGTGTTTGGTCTGACAAGCAGCCCATCTACTCTTTGAATGAAACCCAACATCAGCAGGGAAATCAAGAGCCTTGCCACACTCTCAGCTCTCCCCTCAGCATGACAGTCCATTACAATTCCCACATAACTGCAGAGAAAGCATCAATCCGCATGTTGAGCTCTATCTCACCCTGACTCTTGAACAAGACCAAGGTACTTGAACTCTTTCCCTCGGGGTAGATACTGTTTTGTAAAAAGCAATATTAAATTCAAGTCTGATGTTTTCAGATGCACTGTTAACTTCCATCCATCCATCTTGTCCCGCTTATCCGTGGTCGGGTCGCGGAGGTAGCAGTTCCAGCAGAGAGCCCCAAACTTTCCTTTCCCTGGCCACATCAACCAGCTCTGACTGGGGGATCCCAAGGCGCTCCCAGGCCAGCGAAGAGATATAATCCCTCCACCTGGTCCTAGGTCTACCCCTTGGTCTCTTCCCAGCTGGACGTGCCTGGAACACCTCCCTAGGGAGGCGCCCAGGTGGCATCCTAACTAGGTGCCCGAACCACCTCAACTGGCTCCTTTCGACGCGAAGGAGGAGCGGTTCAACTCCGAGTCCCTCCCGGATGACCGAACTTCTCACCTTATCCCTAAGGGAGACACCAGCCACCCTGCGGAGAAAACCCATCTCGGCCGCTTGTACCCGTGACTCAGAAATTTATTTACAAGGTCATGTAACCGTAACTCACTACTGTCGGACCGGGAAAAAAAAAAAAACCGATTACCGGAAAAGTACGGTATACAAAAAATTCTAGTTCAAGTGTCAGCACAGGTACTTCGTGTGTCTATTTGCAAAATCTCCGTAATAATACGCGATGTGTGTAACGTACTGGTTGCCTAGTTAGGGGACTACCGTTTGGAATTAGATATCTACGGCAACGAATTCCAGTAGACCAGTCCACTACCTGCTGAGAGGTCCCGTATTTATTGACGACGTCTTTGTGACTCCTCTAACTTTTTTCTCGGCGAATTACGTTAGAATAAGTGTTAGGGACTTTAGGTCAATAGTAAAATTTATATCTCTATAATTGTCATGGAGGTTTAGACTCCGTGTACCAAGAGTCGTCCTTGGCTACCTGACAGGGTGAGGTTCGTCCCTACTCAGAATGGGGTTGGCACTTCCTCAAGTTCATAGAGCCCCCAGAACAAGACTCACTCCCTTGTTACCTCGCACTCTACCAGCCTCTAGCCTCGTCGCCGCCAGACGTACAAGAAATGGCGTGGCACACACTGCTTTTCCCCTCCGACTCGCTTCCGTTTCGAGAGACAGATGGCGCGGTAAAAGCAAGGATGGGAGTGATACCAGTACTTCCTACCCGCAGTACTGGCT